AGTAGATAAGAGTTCCAGGTAAAGGCACTGTTTCCTTAACAACATTTGATGGGCTAGCCCTTTTATAAAACCTTTCTGGTAGATGATTTCTGAATTATGAGTCACCACTGTTGATCCCTTGAAGGGCAATATGAATATGCACATCTCTGTCCTGGTGGCCCCAGTGCCCAGGGAGAGCTACATACCTCTTTCCCATCAGTGGCCAGCTCTGGAGGCTGGAGAGCTGGCTGGAGGGGGAGGCAGGTTAAGCTGTATCTTAGCAGTGCTAAATCTCAGCCCACCCAAGAGAACCTCCAGTCTTGTGTGCATAGTTGGCCAGAGAGGATGGTAAAGGCCAAAGGAAAATTGGTAACTCAATGCTGTCTTGGCTGCAGGAGTTGGACATGAATTCCAGTGTGGATGGGGCCTTTGGAGTCCTGCCAGGCCCTTGAGAAAGGGCAGTTCTTAGGTAACCATGCTGTGTGAGGGCAGAGACCGGCAGAGCTCTCCTGTTTGACCTTGAAGAGGCTCCTGCAGATGCAGATACTTGGTGAATAGAGGGGAAAAGGCTATTTCCAGCCCTAGAGCCCACCAAGGCTGGCCACTCTCAGACCTGTATCCCACACCTGCTAGCTCTCAAGGCCAAAGCAGTGGCTGCTGTTTGCGTTTCCCTCTTGCTGCCTAGCTAAACTCAAGTGTCTAGGTCAGTAAGTGTTTCCTGCAGTCCCTGTGTACCAGCCACGAGGTTGAGGCACCTGGGAAACTGCAAGCACAGGATGGGTTCCCTGACAGCAGTTAGTAAGTGTCTGGTGGGCAGAGGAGGTTTCACGGGTCACCACAGTGGGCGGAGAGCAGAACCTGTGCTCAGTGAGGGGTGTATCCTGTGTGCTTTGGAAGCCAGTCGGGTGGTTTCCTTGTCCACTTGAAGGGCTGGATTGGCCTCCTGGAGGAAGAAGTGTGGCACTGGGTCTTGTGGGATGCACAGAGTTTGTCAGAGAGAGAAGGGGAAGGGGAGCTCCAAGCTAAGAATCAGAGAAAGCAGACTTCCGGATGCTGACCGGAAGACCCTTAGACCTTAGCCTGGGGCACTGGGTTGTTTTCTGCAGAACAGGGAACCATGGTGGGGTTGGATGCAGAAGAGTCACATAGAGTTGTTCCCAAGTGGAGAGAGCTTTCTAGTAGCAACAGGGAGATCACGGAACTGCCCAACTTCTGCTTTGCATGCACGCACACACACATGCACGCAATGACAACCACACACGTATACTGAGACATCTATTTACATACTAAAACATACAGATATGGTGCAGACTGAGTCACACAAAGGTACACGTCTAAGAGACACACAGACACATTGGGACAGATAGACATACGCCCACCAGTCAAAAAAGTGCACTGAGTCACTTTCACACACAGCCAGAGCATGCTCGTACACAGAGACTGAAAGCTTTCCCAAGGCACACATGCATACTTACACACACACACATACAGTAATAACTCGGTTCACAACCTTAATTTGTTCTATGATTTTGGAAAAAGGTGGCCATCTTTGTGTTTGTGTGGGAAAGATGGACACAATGTCACCCAATGCAGAGTTTGCAAACAAAAAATTTTGCCCAGTGCTTCTGTATAAGAACCAAATTGTTCCCAAACAAGAGCATTTGTGAACTGAGGTGCCACTGTCATGCACACTCATACCTCCCCTACAAGCTCACAATCACACGATCACATGATTACACATGGGCACAACAGACAGGCATGCACAGCAGTCACACTTAAGCAGAGGCAGCCCACGGCCTTGCTAGGGGCTGCTTACACTGTTCTCGAAGGCCCACTTTGCAATGACCTGCTTTTCCACAGCTGCTTCCTGCCGTGTCATCCTGGGTCTCCGTCCCAGACAACCCCAGAGGGCAGGAGGGCTGTAGCCTTAGCTTGCTCAGCCCACCTGTCCCCTCTCCCTGCAGACAGCCTTTCGTCACAAGGGTCAGCAGTCCCCCAAGTCATTGTACTGCTGATCTGGTTTGGTGTGGAAGAGCAGCGGGCTGAACTTGGTACCCCCAGACCTGGTGGAGGGGTGGTTGGGGTACACACACAGGGACTGAAACACCTACAGGCAAGTCGGGGGCTGGGCAGTGGTGGGGAGCCCTGGCTAGGCCGGCTTGGGGCTCCCCCAGGCTCGCAAGCTGTTACTGCAGCCCTTCTGCAATGGTGCCTGCTGTCCTCAGCAAAATGACCCACATTCAGGTCTGCCAGGCAGCTCTGTCCACACCACATCTCTCTCTGTCTGGCTGCCACCCCTCCCCTCTCCTATCCTGCAGGAGTCAGGCTCCCTGGGGTGAGAAGGGACCGTGTCTGTGGGTGGCTTTGCAGATAGGCTGGTGCAGCTGCCTCCAAGAGGAGAAAAGAGGGGACCTGCAGAGCGGTGGCCTCCAACATGGAAGCTGAGCTCCCATGGGCAAGGACAGGAGAGAGGTGGTAGGAGCAGCTATGTGGGGTTTCCCTACTCCCTGGGCCCAGCCAGAGGTTGTCTGGGTGCCTGGCTGGTGCTCTTCAAGCCCTAGTCCATCTTGCTGCTCTTAGCCTCTGCCCTGCTGATTGGAAGAGGGGCTGCCTCTCCTGGGCAGGACTCTGCCCCCACCTGGGATGCCCCTCTGCTCCAGCTGAGAATCTGAGAGCCCATGTCTCACCCTCTGGGGCTTCCTTCTCCACCGCCACCCTGAATGTCACCAGCCCCATTCGCTAGGATGGAAATGGCCCAGCAGCAGCCCCACTGAAAGGCCAGGCCAGAGCAAGGTGTGGGGCTGGACAGAGCCAGGCCCAGAGACTGGGCACTGACCAGAAGCTCAATGCAAGCACAGATGGGGTGGCCCTGGCACAGAGGCCATGCGAGATGGGACTGTCCTGCGGAGGGCTGCATCCCAGCCAGGGACCACCCTCACACCGCATGCTGTGCCAGTGCACGTCCCTTTTCTTGATAGCAAAAGTAATTCGTGTCTTTCTAGTAAATGTAGAAAATATGAACGCAAAGGAGAAATGCAAATAGCCCACAATTTCACTGCTCAAGAACAGTTATTCTGGTTTTGTAATCTTTTTTCACTTAACTTTCATTTTATTAAAATATTCTACTAAACCATGCATGGTGGCACACACCTATAATCTCTGCACTCTAGGAGGCTGAGGCAGGAGGATTTCAAGTTCAAGCCCAGCCTAGGCAGCTTAGTAACTTAGTGAGACTCTGTCTCAAAAATAAAATAAAATAAAATAAAAAGTGTGGTACATAGCTCAGTATGAAGGCCTTGGATTCACTTCTCATTACCACCCAATTTTTTTTCTTATGTTATTTCATCATTTGAATAACTACATTTCATTGCTTATGATAGTAAGAATGTAGGCATTTTTTTTCTCTCATTGAGTTTATTGGTAAGATGTAGGCATTTTTTAAAAAAGCATTTACCATATGTAGCAGGTGCTGTCATTTATTGAACCTTTGTAATTTGAGATGATACTGTAATTATCCCAACTATGCAAATAAGGAAATTGAGGCACAGAGAAGCTAAGTAACTTGCCTAAGGTAACACAGCTAATAAGAAATAGAGCCACATTTTGAACCCAGGTTGTCTAGCTCCAGAGCTCAGAATTTCCACACCCTCTCACTGTGAAACCATGAAAATGGCAGTGTGTGTATCCTCTCCCTTAGTGACAGCTGTTTCAGTTACTTCCTTTTTTTACCATTATAAAAACATAGTTATCTCTCTGTATCTGTAGGTTGCTCATCTGTGGATTCATCCAATATTGAGAATAAAGGTTGTGTCTGCACTGAACATGTACAGGTTTTTTTCTTGTAGTATTCCCTGAATAATGCATATATCAACTATTTACACAGCATTTGCACTGTGTTCAGTGTTGTAAGTAACTTAAGGTGATTCAAGGTCTATAGTTATTCAAGGTTGTGGGTTATTTGCAAATGTGACTCCATTTTATGCAGGGAATTCGAGCATCTACGGATGCCCGTGTCCTCGGGGGCCTGGCACTGGTGTCCCATGGGTTCTGGGGACATCCCCAGTCTGATGAACACGTGTGTGACTTAAATATTCTGATTATCGTTTTTTAATTTTTTTTATTTTTTGGTACTGGGGATTGAACTCGGGTCCTTGCGCTTGCAAGGCAGGCCACTGAACCACTGAGCTAAATCCCCGGCCCATGGACATGAAATATTTAAAGATTTTTAAAAGTCCTCCCATACTCCCTTGGGAAAGCAGTGACACAGACCTGCCCTGCAGGAGGGGAGGCAGCCGGCCTCAGCGTGGGGGACCAGGCCCACTGATGTCCACCTCCAGGGAGGAGGCAGGAATTGGGAGTGAGGGGAAGTCGTCTGCTGGGAGCCCTTGAGGGCCTGGCCATACTTAGCCGGCCGGTGTGCACGGGTGGAGAGGGGATGGTGGAGGACGGGTTTGTCCCCAGGCCTCAGGCGGATGTGCACCAGTGGGCTGAGCCTGAGGCAGCCCTTGCCCAGTGTGAGGCTGGCCTGCAGCATCAGGCAGGACCGGGTGGGTGTTGGATGTTACTAGACCGACTGCGCTGCCTGGTTGGGCTCCCGAGGGTGTGCAAGTGGGCTGGGCCGGTACCATCAGGCTATGCTCCCCACAAGCATGACGTCCCGAGTCCCGTGGGGAGGGTCTGCGCCTCACATTGCCCCGCTGCGGGAGCCTGGCCCAGCCTGGTACCTCTCTCTGTCTGCCCCTCACTGCCCGAGGAGCACAGCCTGGCTGTGTCACGGCCACACAACTCCTTCATTATGCATGAGGGGGACCCAGCCGTGAGCGAGTGAGCGCCGGGCAGAGGGAGGGACGCGAGGTTATTAATAAACAAGTGTATTGTGTGGAGTTCCATTCGTGGCACTCTCGGAGGACATGGTGGGCTTGAGATAATAAAGCCCTGTGTATGCCAGGAGGGCTAGGGAGGTGGCGAGTGGGGGCTGGTCAGGACCAGGGCACCAAGAGTGATGTGATCCCACCCTGGCAGGGCCACTGCATCTTCTGTGAGGCCAGCATCCATGGGAGACGGTTCAGTGGGGACTTTGTCCGGGCCCGAGTCTGCCACTAGGATGGCCTGGGGCCCCAGAGATGCCCGCTTCACATCCCTGCCTGTCCCCAAGGAGAGTGCCTGAGGAGACCCTGGACCAGCCAGGCCATGAGCCCTTCCCGAGAGGTAGGACGAGGTACTCGTGCCTGCTACTTGGCCTCCTGTCCTACCCCTCCCTCCCTTTGACGGGTGGCGTGAGGATTGTGCACACGAGGGTGGCATTGTGTGTGAGGTCTGAAAGCGCTCTCTGGCCCAGAGCGGATTGGTTTGGTGTCTGGATCTGGATACGAAGCAGGCAGGCTAGAGGGCAGGCAGGCTGCGATGAGAGCCCTGTACCCAATGAGAGCGGAAGAGGGCAGGAGCACGTTCTGGGCCCTGGCATGACAGTTGGACGTTCCTTGGTCTGGGGAACTGGGCTGTCTGGGACAGCGAGGGGCTGAAGAGCACAGGGGAAGGCGAGCTTGGGGTGGGCATCTGATCGCCAAGCTGTGTTCTGTGTGGCTTGGCTTCTCCTGGGTCAGCCTCTCTGTCCTTCAGCCCTGGACTTGAGGCTTCCCCAAGCCAGCCAGGAATGCCGGAGCTGCCTGTTGCGGGGAGGCGAGAATAGTCCCTTGCTCCCAGCTAGCTTCTGGGGATCAAAACAGGTTCCGGACCAGGAGAGTTCGAGTTCTTGTGGCTTTCTGCTGCAGGAGGACAAGGGAAGGCAGAGCCCACATGGGCCCGATCCCCTGGCTGTGTGCTGGTTTGGTCATGGGACGGCAGGGAGCAGCAGAGGGGACAGTCAGGCCTGCATTCCTTATGGGCCCCTGAGGCACAGGTTTGGACTCACTCAGTGACTAACGTTTTGTTTGGGTTGAAGCCTCAGTGACTCTGATCCAGAAGAGCTGTGTCAGGCCCAGGATGGACCGGTCCCAGGTTACCGGAGGGGTATTTCCTCCCAGGCTCAAACCAGAGGGCTCGACCTCCCCCAGAGCAGAGTCTCAGAAACCGGGAGCCCTGAAAGCTGCTCCCCCGACTCCGAGCACAGAGCAGGTGGCACGGGCTCCCCTGAGCACAGTGCACTGCCTCTGGGAGGAGGAGGAAGGGCTCAGAACACGGCCTTCCTGGGCCCGCTCCTGTGGATGCCCTGCCTGCTCCCCACCCCTCCTACAGGCTGAGAAAGCAGGGGCTGCTCTAGAAGATCTGTGCCCCAGGAGTGCTGGGTTTCATGCTTCTTTACCTAGAGGGGACGCAGGGACTGTGATGCGTCCAGGATGGCGGCAGCCTGTGTGAGCCAGGCACCCAGCCTGGAGGTGGGGGACCCTACTGGCTCTGTCCTGCCCTGGCCAGCTGCCATGGGTGGTTCCTGAAAAGTCCGGGGATGGAGGCAAGGGCCTTCCCCATAGAGGCGGGACGGTGACTTGTCCTTGGCAGGCCCCTCTGAAACTGGCACTCGTGGCACCCCCCGAGGACCACGCAAGATGGCCTTGGCCGTGTTGGCAGTGCCATCAACAGCTGTGACAACTGTTGCCCATCAGACAGTGGCCACAGTTCGCTGAGGGCTTTCTCCATAACAGACACTGCTCTGAGCCTGGTGCCGGTCCTGTTGTAGATCCACCAGTGCCCGCGCACCCTCTCGTTAGAACCAGGGAAACTGAGACTGGGAGAGGTCAGCATGCTGTCCAGTGTCACAGTGCCTTGGCCAGCTTGTGCCCAGGTCCTAGAACCAGGTCTCTTGGTGCCCTAATACTGTGGCCTCCTGGGAGGTGACACGGTGGATTCTTTGGGTGGCCACAGAAAGACTGAAGTCAGATGCAAGGAAATACTTCCTGCCAGAGAGGACCTGCGAGCAGTGTTCTCCCTTAGGGGTCTTTGAGAGGTACCTGCACTTCTACAGGGAGCTCCTGCAGGCTGAACCCTGAACTGATGAACTCTCAAGGGGCTTTCTGCTCTGGGATTCAGACAGCTCTGTTTTCTGGATCCCCGGTCGGCTGCAGCCTGCCTGTGAAGGATGCTGGATCATGCATCAGTAAACACAGGATACCACGTAGCCAGCAGCTTCTAGGCACACTGAGAGCCTGGCTAGGATTTGGGGTTCTGGGAGAAGGCCAGGGAGGCTGGAGGATTCCCCAGGCTCAGAGAGGCTCCAGGGAGAGAGAAACCAGCCCTGGAGGGCTCTGGAGCAGCCTGCAGGTTTTTTTTTTTTTTTTTTTTTTTTTTTTTTTTTT